GTTTCGTTCTGTTGTACCTATGGTCGCTCTGAGTTGGAACTGACTCAATGGCACCTAACAACAACAACAACAATACTCATGATGTTGCTTATTGGTCCTGTTGTCAAGATTTTTGTTTTCTTTATGTTGTGGTGTAATCCATACTGGAGGCTATAGTCTTTGCTCTTCATCATTAAGTGCTTCAAATCCTCTTCGCTTTCAGCAAGCAAGATTGTTTCATATTCATATGCAAGTTATTAATGAGTCTTCCTTCAATCCTGATGCCACATTCTTCTTCATATAGTCCAGCTTCCCTCGAATTATTTGCTCAGCATACAAATTGAATAAGTATGGTGAAAGACCATGACCCTGATGCACACCTTTCCTGATTTTAAACCCTTGTTCTGTTTGAATGACTGCCTCTTGGTTTATGCACATGTTCCCCGTGAGCACAGTTAAGTGTTCTGGAATTCCCATTCTTTGCAATGTTATCCATAATTTGTTTTGATCCACACAGTCAAATGCCTTTACGTAGTCAATAAGACACAGGTAAACATCTTTCTAGTAGTCTCTGCTTTCAGCCAAGATCCATCTGACATCAACAATGATTTCCCTCCTTCCGTGTCCTCTTCTGAATCCAATGCTATCTCCATTGTGAAGGTTGTGAGGGTGTTAAGGGTCCTGAAGCCCCTGAGGGCAATCAACAGAGCAAAAAGACTTAAACATGTTGTGCAGTGTGTCTTTGTGGCCATCAAGACAATTGATAGCATCATGATTGTCACCACCTTTCTCCAATTCATGTTTACCTGCGTTGGGGTCCAGTTGTTCAAGGGAAAGTTCTATCGCTGCACAGATGAAGCCAAAAGTAACCCTGAAGAATGCAGGTGGCCATTCATTGTCTACAAGGATGAGGAGGTTGATAACCTTGTAGTGCATGAGACCATCTGGCAAAATAGTGATCTCAACTTTGACAATATCTTGCCTGCTATAATGGTACTTTTCACAGTGTCCACACTTGAGGGTTGGCCTGCATTGCTGTATAAAGCTATTGAATTAAATGGAGAGAAGGTCGGCCCAATCTACAGCTACTGCCTGGAGATCTCCATCTTCTTCTTCATTTGCCTCGTCATTGTGGCTTTCTTCATGATGAACATCTTTGCGGGTTTTGTCATCATTACATTCCAGAAGCAGGAAGAAAAGGAGTATAAGAACTGTGATTTGGACAAAAATCAGCGTTAGTTTGTTGACTAAGCCTCGAAAGCCAATCCTTTGCAGAAATACATCCCCCAAACCCCTACCAGTACAAGTTCTAGTACGTGGTGAATTCCTCACCTTTCAAACACATGATGTTTGTCCTCATTGTGCTCAACACACTCTGCTTAGCCATGCAGCACTATGAGCAGTCTAAGATGTTTAATGACACCATGGACATTCTGAAAATGATCTTTACTGGGGTGTTCACCCTGGAAATGGTTGTGAAAGTCATTACTTTTAAACCTAAATGCTATTTCACTGATGCTTGGAACAGTTTTGATGCCTTAATTGTTGCTGGTAG